CAGCCAGTGAAGGCAAGGTCGAGTGGTGAGGCCCCCAGTCAGTGAAGGCAAGGTCGAGTGGTGACCCAACCAGGCAAGGTCAAGTAGTGGCAAGGTCGAGTGTAGTGACCCACCAGTTAAGGTCAAGGTCAAGTAGTGACCCAACCAGTAAAGGCAAGGTCGAGTAGTGACCCAGCCAGTGAAGGCAAGGTCGAGTGGTGACCCAACCAGTTAAGGCAAGGTCGAGTAGTGACCCAGCCAGTGAAGGCAAGGTCGAGTGGTGACCCAACCAGTTAAGGCAAGGTCAAGTAGTGACCCAGCCAGTGAAGGCAAGGTCGAGTGGTGACCCAACCAGTTAAGGCAAGGTCAAGTAGTGACCCACCAGTAAAGGCAAGGTCGAGTGGTGACACAACCAGTTGAGGCAAGGTCAAGTAGTGACCCAGCCAGTGAAGGTAAGGTCGAGTGATGACCCAACCAGTTAAGGCAAGGTCGAGTAGTGACCCAGCCAGTAAAGGCAAGGTCGAGTGGTGACCCAACGAGTTAAGGCAAGGTCAAGTAGTGACCCAGCCAGTGAAGGCAAGGTCGAGTGGTGACCCAACCTGTGAAGGCAAGGTCGAGTAGTGACCCAGCCAGTGAAAGCAAGGTCGAGTGGTGACCCAACCAGTGAAGGCAAGGTCGAGTAGTGACTCAGCCAGTGAAGGCAAGGTCGAGTGGTGACACAACCAGTTAAGGCAAGGTCAAGTAGTGACCCAGCCAGTGAAGGCAAGGTCGAGTGGTGACCCAACCAGTTAAGGCAAGGTCGAGTAGTGACCCAGCCAGTGAAGGCAAGGTCGAGTGGTGACACAACCAGTTAAGGCAAGGTTAAGTAGTGACCCAGCCAGTGAAGGCAAGGTCGAGTGGTGACCCAACCAGTTAAGGCAAGGTCGAGTAGTGTCCCAGCCAGTGAAGGCAAGGTCGAGTGGTGACACAACCAGTTAAAGCAAGGTCAAGTAGTGACTCAGCCAGTGAAGGCAAGGTCGTGTGGTGACCCAACCAGTTAAGGCAAGGTCGAGTGGTGACCCAACCAGTTAAGGCAAGATTGCATTATTATCAGCTCTCTCCGCATGAAGGAGATGCTCAAAGTGTGCACCATTATTTTCTAAGGATAACAGTAATCGACAGCGAAAGTTACGTTGTACATTTTCTAGCATTAAGGAGTTATAGCTTCACAAGCTCTTCTTATTCTTTCCATCATATTCAATCTTGTCGTTGGAGCTTCACTATACACTGCATCTTTAACGTATCCCCATAAAAAAAAATAAAGGGGGTTCAAATCCGGTGATCTCGGAGGCCACAGAACTGGTCCATCCCGCCCTATCCACCGATTTGGGAATCTTTGATTCAAAAATATCCGTACAAGACGAGCATAATGAGCAGGAGCACCATCTTGTTGATACCATAAATTTAGTCTAACTGCAAGGGGAACATTCTCTAGGTATGCTGGCAAATCATTTTCGAGGAAGTCTAAATACATTGGACTATTAATTGGACGTTCAAAAAAATGAGGTCCAATGACTTGGCCATTGCAAATGCCTACCCATACATACAAACTCCAACGATGTTGATTAAGCACCTCACGATACCAATGTGGATTTTCTGTTGACCAATAGTGGCAATTATGCCTATTGAGACTACCATTGCTGATGAATGTTGCTTCATCACTGAAACAAATATTACTAAAAAAATCTGGATTCTGATCTAACATCTCAAGAGCCCATCTACAAAATTGTACTCTGAGTACGTAGTCGGCCTCACTTAATTCCTGTACCAGAGTAATATGATACGGATGGTAATTGACTGATCGTAACAATCTATGTGCCGTAGTTTAAGGGATTCCCAGTTCTCGTTCTATTTGACGGGTACTAATATGGGGATTTTGATGAACCATAGCCAAAACTGCGAGCAATCTAGGGTCATTATTATTATGAAGTCTATTCCTTCGCCTTTCGCGATGAAGTGGATTATTACGAGATCTCCTTTCAATGTTTATAATTTGTTGATCAGTAGGATGGCGGCGATTTGGGAATCGCTCCGCATAAGTACGGGCAGTAAGTCTGTAATTTCTACCACATTCACCAAAGGTTATAAGAATATCGACTACTTCTGTAGGCGTATAATTTGCCATTTTACCAGAATTTTATCAGAGTACAAATGTTAAAAAAATACATAAACACTTGTGACTTTGGCATTAAATGGAGTGCGCACTGAGTGTGCACTCGCCGCAGGGCGTTTCTTGTGCGGTACTTTGGACCATTCCAGTTGCTTAAAGGGCAGGTTACGCTAAAAGCAGTTTCTTGAGAAGTAATTAATGAGTAATAAAAAATAATGAGAAGTTTGTTTTAAGACTTATTTCGAGTATTAACAATGCACACTAGGTCTCTCAGGGAAAAACGCCATTAGTATCCCTCCAAAATTTTGTCCATTTAGTGCCAAAGTCACAAGTGTTTATGTATTTTTTTAACATTTGTACTCTGATAAAATTTTGGTAAAATGGCAAATTATACGCCTACAGAAGTAATCGATATTCTTGCCTTCACTGGCTGGGTCACTACTTAACCTTGCCTTAACTGGTTGGATCACCACTCGACCTTGCCTTAACTGGTTGGGTCACCACACGACCTTGCCTTCACTGGCTGGGTCACTACTTGACCTTGCCTTAACTGGTTGTGTCACCACTCGACCTTGCCTTCACTGGCTGGGTCACTACTCGACCTTGCCTTAACTGGTTGGGTCACTACTCGACCTTGCCTTCACTGGCTGGGTCACTACTTGACCTTGCCTTAACTGGTTGGGTCACCACTCGACCTTGCCTTCACTGACTGGGTCACTACTCGACTTTGCTTTAACTGGTTGGGTCACCACTCGACCTTGCCTTCACTGGCTGGGTCACTACTCGACCTTGCCTTCACTGGCTGGGTTACCACACGTTCAAGCACCCCGAATTGTGAGAGGCGAGGGGACTCACGTTAATCAAGCACCCCGAAGGGAATAGAAAACTGCTACGTCCACGTCGTTGTTCCTGGGTTACGCTAAAAGCAGTTTCTTGAGAAGTAATTAATGAGTAATAAAAAATAATGAGAAGTTTGTTTTAAGACTAATTTCGAGTATTAACAATAAAAACGTGGTATTTTTATTGTTAATGTATTGCAGAATCGTAAGCATGGGTTCTCAGTAAGAGAAATCGAAGAAATTGAATTTTGTCGATTACAGTGCCATCTATCTTGAATCGAGAAAAATGTTTCAGACAAATTGTATGTGTTTTTAGCCAAAGATTCCGAATATGCAATAAAAAATAGGGGTTTCCATTTAAGATTTCAAACTTGCCCCCCCTCACCGCCCAGGGAGAGAGGTGGGGGGGGCTGATGTTAACGTCATTGTACGTCCCCCTTGAAATGACGAAATTTTGATTGCAAACATTTTTTCGTAGTGTGCTTATTTTTCGAGTTATTTGGCTGCCTAAGTTAAAATGGGTCACCCTGTATATATATATATATATATATACAGGGTGATTCATTTTAATCTATCACCCAAAATATTTCTTGATAGATTAGTCAGGGTGATAGATTAAAATGAATCACCCTGTATATATATATATATATATATATACATATACAGGGTGATTTATTTTAATCTATCACCCAAAATATTTCCGTTTTTATAAATTTTATGAAGAAATGTTTCAGACAAAAGTTGTATGGTTTCGAAGGGGACATAAGATGGTACCATTGATTTAACTTTGGATAATCATATGAAGATCACGTGAAGGTAACCTTCAATTTCTTAAATAGAACCTACTATTTTTCATTACATATTCTTGTAGTTTACCTCGAGAGCTTTCCAAAACACTACAACAAAATATTTTTTCATTAAGTATTTTTCGAGTTATTAAGGCTGCAAATTTGCAGTATTTTGACATAAAATGTCAATTTTGTATTATGAAATATCTTGGGAAATATTCATTTTTCGATAATCATACCTTAATACTTTTATGCACAGAATAATGAAACAAATCAGTTGGTATAAAGAAAACACATAGTTACTTTTAAAAAAAATATGAAAATTTCAATAAGCAGTTACATAATTTTTCTTTAAAACAACTATGTGTTTTCTTTACACCAATTGATTCGTCTTATTATTCTGTGCATAAAAGTATTAAGGTATGATAATCGAAAAATGAATATTTCCCAAGATATTTTGTATTTTATGTCAAAATACTGCAAATTTGCAGCCTTAATAACTCGAAAAATACTTAATGAAAAAATATTTTATTGTAGTGTTTTGGAAAGCTCTCGAGGTAAACTACAAGAATATGGAATAAAAAATAATAGGTTCCATTTAAGAAATTGAAGGTTACCTTCACGTGATCTTCAAATGACTATCCAAAGTTAAACCAATGGTACCTTCTTATGTCCCCCTCAAAACCATATAACTTTTGTCTAAAACATTTCTTCGTAAAATGCATAAAAACGGAAATATTTGGGGTGATAGATTAAAATGAATCACCCTGTATATATATATATATATATATATATATATTTATTGTTATGTCCGCGGATCCGATTTCGCGATATATTGATATCAGCCGCGACACGCAACGTCGTTCACTTGCGAACCGTGAAAGAAATCGTACTCGTATTTAGAGGAACGAAAGACTTTTATTAAAAGATATTAAATACAAGAAATACAATAAAGGGAAAATGGGAAATTATCGAACGAAAGCCGAATCCGCTCGTGACAGTTGCGGAATTCGAACTCAGAAGACGACAGCTGTTGATCAACAACCCTTGACGACGCCTTGACAAGGCGACGTTCGTAGATCTCATAGAAGACTCGATGACTCGATGTTCGAAGACAAATTCAGGGATCGTAGTATAACACGGACGTTAAATATATATATATATATATGTATCTAATGAAAATATTATTTACAGATTGCAAAAGAGAAAAGAAAAGATTCCAAAGCGGATTAATATCCGTTGTAAAGCTGATAGAGCAAAACTGAATGGCTGGGATTGCTGGCAATGCGAAAAAGTAATATTATATTAATATTACACCATTAATATAATAATATTACAATAAAATATATTTCTTGATAAGAAAGTATTAATTGTTATATATAATTTTTAGTATTACAAGGCTTTAACCCTATCTGAAGAGGAATTGCAAAAGCGAAGAAATCAATGTTCGCGGCATCGGCACAAGTACGAAAGACCGCGAACACCAGAAGGTACTCATATATATTTTACGTTTCTCATTATTTCATATATATACATATATAAGGTGTTTTTCAGTGTCGTAAAATAAAACTGCCTTGAGTTTCTGTAAATGAAAGATTCTATATTACCAATATAAATTGTACTTAAAATTACATTGCTTTACGTTACCTGTAAATGAAAGAAACAACATTCACAGCTAATATTTCACTCTCTTATTATTAATCCATATTGCTATCTTTAATCGTCTCTACGCGTTCTATTTGTATCATCCACGTGCACGAGTCTTTCTGTCTCTCGCTCACTCAAATGCGCATGCCTATCTAACTGTGTGGCAGCAGCCGGTTTCCCGTGAGCGGGATATTACGAATTCTAGGGAAGACGAAATATAGCCACTATTAGCCATATTTCGTTACATCTCCCCCCTTGGAGTAAAGAAAACAGTAGATGATACTAGTTTTCTTGATCGTCATGTACCACTGGTACCAGTTTTGTGATATGAAACAATGATTCTGACTTCCTTTGATCAGTCTGTATCTTGTAAATAGAATTTGAAACTTTTTCTACAATTTTGTATGGTCCGGTTTTTAATTCATCTAATTTTTTTCTGTTTAACCTATGACTATTCTCTACATAGACTAGGTCGCCTATTTTAAATTCATGGTATCTTCTGTTTTTATCGAATATTTTTTTGTTGTATTCATGAGATTTTTTTGTATTCTCTAATGCAATTTTCCTATCCTTGAGTAGATCTCCGTGTGTTTGTTTTTGTTTTAGTTCTTCAGGAATTATTGCTGTGTTTGTACCTTCCAATAGATATTGTGGAGAATATCCTGTCACTGTATGTTCTGTTCTGTTATATCTTTCTACACATTCGTGTGCTATTGTTGTCCAAGCGGTTTTTTTCTTTTTTTCATTTGTTCTGCATCTGATTTTGTTGACTAGAGTTTGGTTCAGCCTTTCATTAAGTCCGTTGGAGAAAGGTGTGTTCACTGCGGTGAATGTTAATACGATGTTTTCTTTATTCAAAAAGTTTTTGAATTCTTTCGAATTTATGCCTGGGTACTGGTCTGATAAGATCATGCCTATTTTATTGTCTGCTATTATACTCTGTATTAATTTTATGAAATCGTTCGCATTTTGGGTTTTTGATGTCAGAATATGGGCATACCTTGTGAAGTGGTCCACGAGCAGGTGTAAATATTTCTTCGTTGAACGGGAGCCCCCGAATCCTCCGATCGTGTCTATGGAAACTATTTCGTACGGATAAGTGGCTGGGCCCAGCTGTGACATCAATCCAATTTTGTGACTTCCTCTCGATTTGTTTTTTTTACAAATCTCGCAAGTGTCACAAATTTTTTTTATATTTTGGTCTAGATTTTTCGCTATGTAAAACGGTTTGATTTTTGCTTTCATTTGTTTCGTTCCTATATGACAGTAGAGGGAATGTATTTTTTTTATAAACTCTTTACTAAAGATTTCTGAAAGAATAATTTTTTCTTTCTTTCCCACCTTTTTATAATACATGTTGTGTTTGAAGATTAGTGTGTCTTTAGCATTTTGCAAATCAGTGTTATGCTTTTGATCGTTTTCAATCTCTTCTATTTTTATGAAATTAACAGTTTTTAAGATTTCATCCTCATTCTCATGAGGCTCCATTACTGGGTTTCGGCTTAAACAATCTGCTTCTACGTTGTATTTTCCTGGACTGTACTTTATTTTGAAATCATATTGCGATAGGTAATGCATCAGTTCTCCCAATTCCTCGTCTGTTCTGGCCTTAATCTTCATATTTTCTAGGGGCTTATGGTCTGTGAATACCGTAAATTTTTTCCGATGAGCCAGTGTTGCCAATATCTTATTGCTTCCCTTATTGCTAGACTCTCTATGTAAATAGCTTTTTTTCTTTTTTGGGTTTCATTTAGCTTTTTCGAAAAATATGCCACTGGTTTTTGTTCTTTATTCAATTGTATTTGTTTTAACACAGCCCCGATACCTTGTAGGCTCGCATCGGTGTGAATGCATATTGGGAGATCCGGATCAAAAATTGTTAAAATTGGCTGAGAACAGAGTAGTATTTTCATGCTATCAAATGCCTTCTGGCATTGTTCCGACCAAATAAACTTTTGTTCTTTTCTTAATAAATTGTGTAATGGGTCTAATACAGTCGAAATATTTGGCACATATTTTCCATAAAAATTGATCTTCCCCAAAAATTGGCGAACATTCTTTCTTGTTTTAGGTATAGGAAAATTCTTTATAGAAATCACATTATCCTTCAGTGGACTGACTGAGTTGTTTCGTATTATGTGACCCAAATACTTGACGGAGTCTGCTGCAAAAATGCATTTGGAAAGCTTTAATCTGAAACCCTCTTCCATAATTGCTTTCAGCAATCTTGACAAATGATCTATGTGCTCTGCAAAATCCCTCGAGAAGACTAAGATGTCATCAATATAATTTACACAAAAATCAGCAAGTTTATGTTTTCTTATTATATTATTTAATATCCTTTGGAAAATTGCTGGTGCTGTTTTTAAACCGAATGGTAAGCATGTCCATTGGTAATGTCCCTCTTGGGTTATGAAAGCTGTTTTTTGTCTATCTGTAATTTTTAAAGGAATTGACCAAAAAGCCGAATTTATGTCTAGCGTTGAGAATAGTTTACAGTTTCTGGTTTTAGCTATCAGGTCGTCAATTAGCGGGAACGGTTGCGGTTGGGGAATGACAATTTTATTTAGTTCCCGGAAATCTATGCATAATCTTGCCCTTTTTCCTTCATCTCTCTTGAATGCTAGCGTCACTGGAGCCGCAAAAGGGCTATATGATTCCTCAATCAGGTTTTCCTCTAATAATTTCGTAATTTGTTGTTCTATTTCTTTTTTGTCTTCGATCGAACACCTGTAGGGTCTTTTGCAACAATATTTATCGATTATTAAGTCTATATGGGCTTCATAATTTTTAACCGTTCCTATGTCATATTTGTCTCTGGCAAATACCGTTTTATGTTTATCAATTAGCTTGTCGATTTCACTCTGTTGTTCTATTTCTAAGTTGTTAATTGATATCTGAAATTTCCCTGTATCTATGTGTTCATTGTAGTTTATTTCGTGTTCCTCAATATTTTCTTTTCTTTTTTTTGGATTCATTTTGTTCTCAGAAATGACCTGAATTTTCCTTTTTTGACTTATTTCCAATTTTTCATTTTGGATTAGTTGGAATTTTTTGATACAGTCTAACCCAATTAAAAATTCGTATTTGAAATTCTCTTTGTCCACCACGAAAACATTCATATCCTCTTCATTTTCGAAAATTTTAACTTTTAAAGTAACTATACCGTCTGACTTTTTCACACCATTAATCGTTGTTAAACCCACCTTTTTTATATTATTAGGTTTTTTTTTCGGTATGCTTAATAATTTTGAATTTATCAAGGAGACATTTGAGCCGGAATCATAAATGCCTGTAACCTCGATAGTGTTATTTAACAAAACTTTTATTTTGATTAATGGCGGTACAGTTAGTTTTTTTGATCGACATCATTTAACTCTAATTCTAATTCGGAATTGTTTACGTGTTTAATTTGTTCTTTCTTTTTTTGTTCGTCATCTTTATTTTTGTACCAGCATAAAGATTCTGGATGAAAACGATTATATTTATTTCTTTTTTCACAAATCGCACATGGTTTGTGGCTATTAGGTTTATCTTTGGGTTTTTTTTCCTGGTTGGTTATGGTCTTCCTCTCCGCATTTTTTACCAGATATTCTAAGCCTCTAATTTCATTAAGCAAGTTTTCGACCGTTTTTAGTTTTTCTTTATCTATTCTATTCCTCACAAAGTTCGGTAATCCTACCGCAATGAGATTAATTAATGTAGTTACTGTCATACTTTTATCAGTTTGTGTTAGAAGATTTTGTTTTCGCACCGCATAATCTAGTAATGAACCGGATACATATTTATATGATATCGCATGAGTGACTGGAATCCACCCTTTATCGGCATAAATCTCGCAAAATCTTTGTTTCCATTGCAACCATTCTGATTCTAATGTTAAGTTTATAAGCATCGCGTTATACCAGTCCATGCACGCGTCTTCTAGAAACAATCTAAATATTTCTATTTTATCTATATCTTTTTCAATACCTAGCCGAGTGCATTCGCGTTCAAAAGTACTCATCCATTCTGATACATTACAACTTTTCCCTGAAAATTTTTTAATACAAACTTCTCTGACAGTTTTCTTAGATTCCGCTTTCCCGGGTCCTCATTGCCTTGTTGGTGGTGAGCAAATTTTTCCAAGATCCTCGTTAGCATTTCTTCTGACAGGTTCAGCGATGTTGCCCCTTCCTCTCGTGAAGTAGGTGTTCCTATTGATATTTCTTCTAGTACATAATTCTTGAATATCATATTTCCCTCTTCGTCTATGTATAATCGCAAAATATCCTTTGATAATTTAATACACATTCTTCGGGTTTGTCCTCTTTTCTTCAAGGTATTTTGTATTTGTTTGAAGGCTGTAGTGACTGCCAGCTCTTTATGATGCTCCATCAGCTGATACTGATCAGGCATAATGTAGCTTTTATTCTCCTGAGTTGTGATTGAGGTTAAGACAATCACATTTGATTTTGGATCTTCGGCGTGTGCCTTCACACTAAATGTAAATTTTAGCGTGTCCATTTTTTTTTTTTTTTTTCTCTTCAATTTCGTGTGTTTTGATTTAGCAATAGGAATGTTGTTTTATAAGGTGTTTTTCAGTGTCGTGAAATAAAACTGCCTTGAGTTTCTGTAAATGAAGGATTCTATATTACCAATATAAATTGTACTTAAAATTACATTGCTTTACGTTACCTGTAAATGAAAGAAACAACATTCACAGCTAATATTTCACTCTCTTATTATTAATCCTTATTGCTATCTTTAATCGTCTCTACGCGTTCTATTTGTATCATCCACGTGCACGAGTCTTTCTGTCTCTCGCTCACTCAAATGCGCATGCCTATCTAACTGTGTGGCAGCAGCCGGTTTCCCGTGAGCGGGATATTACGAATTCTAGGGAAGACGAAATATAGCCACTACTAGCCATATTTCGTTACACATATATACATATAATACATTTATTATATAAAATACAATGTAATCTTTTTTTTTTAACAGGTTTTTGGGATCCAGATTTTCCCGAGATGTCTCCGTCTCCATAAGACATTGTGAAATTTTATATATTGCTATTAACAAAAAGATTAACAAGGATTAACAAATATTGTAATTTTGTAAAAAATAAATAAAAACATAAAAAAATAATAAAAATATTAAAAATAATATAAAAAAATAATTTTTTTATCGTTTGCAAATTGACCAAAGAATCTGCCATTAGTACGTTTTTTCCCTCTTTTCTCTCTTCTCCTTGTCCTCCTCGTTCCTCTCCACGTTCCTTTTCCATCCTCTCTTCTCCTTCTTCCTCCTTCCGATCGTTCTCCCTTCTCTCTGCTCTCCTTTTCCTCTCTTTCCTCGTCTCTCTCTCACGCTCTCTAGTCCACTATCGCTTTCTTTCTCCATCTACCGCCTTTCCTCCTTTTCTTCTCTCCTTTCTCCATCAATACGTTTTTTTTCTCTTCTTCAGTCCCCTCCTGTCACCATCCTTCTCCATCCACCGTCCTTACTCCTCTTCTTCTTCTCTTCTTTCTCTACCGTTACTTTCTTTCTCTCTCTTCTTTCTTTCTTTCTTTCTCTTCTACTCGTCCTCCTTTCTCTGACACTCCCTTTCCATCCTCTCTCTTCCTTCTTCTTCCTTCCGTGTCTTTCTGTTCCAGTCACTCTTTTCCTTCCTTTTCTCTTTCCTCTGTTATTCACGCCTCCTATCACCTAGCCTTCTTGTTCTTCTTATCACGTGTTCTCTCGTTATCGTTACTCCTATCTTCATCTATCTCTGCATCTCTTCCCTACTTCCATCCGTGTCTCCTCACACTCATCCGATCTATCTTCCCGCAGGGGACATTTGAAGTGCACAAGTGTCGGGGTTTAGCGTTCCTCCGGTCCTGAGCTCAGTACATTGCACAAAATCACGAACATTTACACTAGCACCAGCGACAGATTAAACATTTTGCCGCCCCTAGGCAGCGTACATTTTGCCGCCCCTAAAAGCAAAAAAAAAAAATTTAGTACAAAATATCAACAATTTTCTGTTACCCTTTTTTTTTTTTTTTAGAGTCAGGAAATTTGCCTAAACCAAACTTCGCCGTCCTGACCCCTGAGGGAGGGTCAGGAGGCTTCGTGGTGGATTCCCGCCCGTAGTATCCCGAGGGACTATCGGGCGGGGGACCGACCTAAAACCTGACTGAAGCCCCTGGTCGTATGGGTATTGTCCACCGCGGAACCGCGTTAGCATTACTTCACGGTGGACACCCGACCGGCGTCCTGAAGGTAGGACACATCCCCCGGAAGGATACTACAGGTATCCCCCCGGAGAGGACATCCCTTGTCCCGAAAGGGCATCGAGGGGAGCCGGGCTACTAGCTCCCCCTGGACTTCCCAGGGTCGACGTGCAATGAGAGCGGGGCCCCCACCCCTCTCTCTGCCAACCCGGTAAGTGAGGTGACCGCAGTCACTCACCCACACACAAAACGTCACAGGACGATTACAGTACATAACGTGCACGAAACATGTACACAAACCACGATAATACTTAGTAAGGGCCACAGGCCCAGCCCCCAAGGGGGCCCACAACAAGGCGCTATGGCCAACCACAATAAAGGTGGGAGTGTTATTACTCCCACCTATGACAAAAGATAATATACTATAAACAACATAAACTTGGCGTAGGGTGAAGAGGCCGGGAGTCACCTCTCGGCAACCTTCCCGGCACTCCATCACCCATCGCCGCAACCTACAACATAAACTTGGCGGGGCAGGGAGACCACGGAGTCACCTTTCGGCAACCTCCCCAGAACTCCCCGCACCCACCGCTACACACTACGACAACAAAGGACAAAACCGACACTAAACATCGGGGGCAGAACTGCAGCCCGGCACGGGGGAGCCGCCTCTCCGCGACTTTCCCCGCCCCCGGCTACAGTCTACCCTCGTCCACTCCGGGCTCGCAGGCCCCCCATCGGGGCGCCCCGGAGCCTGAACGCGCTCGGCAGCAGGCGCGCTCTCCCGACACCTCTTAGGAGGCACGCGCACGCGAGCGCAAACCGTCGACCCACAGCGATGTCCAGAGGGTTTCCCCCTGGACGCACACGAATGACATCGGGGCGGCGCCACGCAGTTGGCCGCCTTGTGCTTCGCGCAACCACACCTGTAGCACATACCGCTACGATCAGTGTCGGCTCCACAACCATTGGCCGAATGACCAAATTCGTGACACCGATAACACTGCAGGGGGCGACGGGCCAGATGAACAACATCTAGCCTTTCCCATCCCCCCGACATCACAATGCTACCGGCAGCAACGAGCCTTCGCGCTACTCCAGATGGGCAACGGATCCACAGCGTCCCGAAACCCGTTCTAGGAGACAATCGGATCATACCTGCTTTTAGATCCTCAGCCTTGCAGCCTCCAACCAAGGCAACCCTGTCAAGGATATCTTGGCGACCAACAAAAGCCATCATCCCCCTTAAACGGATGTCTTCCGTTCGTGAGGGGCGGCCAACTCTGATCGTTCCTGATGACGGGAACACCTCCTTCATCTTTTCCGCAAGTGCGTCAGCTTTCACGGACGAGTCTTTACCTCGAACCGACAACAAGATGCTACCAGTTACCCCTCTTCTCATATGCATGGACTCAATTCCTAGCTCTTTAGCATCTATTTTAGACTTAGCCTCGGATAATACCGAGGCATAAGTTTGTAGCATTCATCATCCACACCTTTCATTTACACTCTACACTTTTATTACACCTTACACTTTTCACTGCACTTTTACACTTTTTACATCTTTATACATTTGTAATAACTTCAATTCATTAATATACATAATGTTTTTAAGAAAAATCAATATTTCCATAACAACACATTCATTCATTTATTTGTTACATATTAATTCTTTTTGTTCTTTCGCTTTATACTTTCAATGAATAAACATTACTTTTTCAAAGATCTGGTGAATTTATTTATAAGTCGCTACATTTTTGGTGACCCCGACGTGATATTAAAGCCGACGCATTTTAAAGGCTGATGCGGAATAAGTGCTAAGTGATCGTCGTATTTGAAGTCTGCAAAATATTATCATCGCTTGGAAAAATTGCTGGATATTCTGATTTTAAGAGATTCATTCTCCGGATCTTTGAAACATCAGAGGCGGATTAGTCCTTCACGGAAATTCTCAAATCATTTTATCGGATTCCTGGAACAAGAGGAAAATGCCAATCGATAGATCACCAGTTAGACCCTGTTCGGATACACAGATTGATATGGATTTGGCGAGCGGATCAAATCAGGTTGGATCAGAAAATATTAATATTTTACCTTCTCAAACTGGACATCAGGTGAGTGATCCTATGTTACAAATTCACTCAAATGAGTTTCGTTTATTAAAACTACCGACTTTCTGGCATAAACAACCTAAACTCTGGTTTGCTTCTATTGAAAGTGAGTTTACGGTTTATCGAATTCGATCAGATGATATTAAATATAGTTCTGTCATTCGTCATCTTGATGAACAAGCCTTAGTAAACATATCTGAAGTCATTGAAAATCCACCTAAAACAGATAAATATAATTATTTAAAGAAAATATTAATAAATCGCTTTACGGATTCAGAGGAAAAACGTTTGAGACAAATATTAGCTGGAATTGAACTTAATGATAAAAAGCCTTCGGAATTACTTCGAGAAATTCGTCATTTGTCTGGAGGATCTTTAGCAGATAGTGTTTTGCAAATGATTTGGCTTCAACGCTTACCACATAGAATTCAAACGACTTTAGCCGTAGTAGAGGATGTTCCTCTTGTTAAACTTGCGGAATTAGCCGATAAAATTGCTGATCGGGACGGCGGTTTGCAAGTCGCGGAAGTTTCCAATAATGCAAGTAATAAATCTTCGGATTTCGCGGATTTGCTACGAAGAATCGAAGCTCTTGAAGTTTCTCGTCGTCGAGATCGTTCCAAAAGCCGGTCTAGAGAGAATAGAAGATTTAGATCGTTATCGCGTAAGAAAGACAAATCAAATAAAGATATTAAAGATACATCAATTTGTTTTTACCATAAGAAGTTTGGTGATAAGGCTAAACGATGTACTTTACCTTGTTCTATGTCCAAAACATTCTTGGCTTCACAGGAAAACTAAAAACGCCGCTTAAGACTGAGGCTGCTTACGACGGTGTTTCTAACAATCGCCTCATTATTTTCGACAGACATTCAAATTTGAATTTTCTTGTCGATACGGGCGCTGATATATCGTTGTTACCTAAAAAGGTTTTATTGAAGCCGTGGCATACTAATTTAAAACTTTTTGCCGCAAATGGTACTCAAATTAATACTTACGGTTCTAAAACTTTAATTTTGAACCTCGGTTTAAGGAGAGAATTCAAATGGAAATTTTGTGTCGCGGATATTCAACGTCCTATTTTAGGCGCCGATTTCCTTTGTCATTTTAATCTCCTAATTGACATTAAAAACAAGAAATTGATTGATAATGTTACCGGTCTTACGAATACTGGAAAAATTCAAGAAGTTGCACATTTGTCAATTTTTACCACATCTCCTGATTCTGTGTACCACAAATTTTTAACCGAATTTCCAGGACTCACCCGTTTTTCTCCAATTTCCTCGGTAAAAACACATGGTGTTGAACATCATATCGTTACGGAAGGTTCTCCTAAATTTTCGACTCCCAGAAGACTTACTCCTGAGAAACTTAAATGTGCCAAGGAAGAATTCAAGTCTATGATGGAGCAAGGAATTTGCAGACCTTCAAGCAGCTCCTGGGCAGCCCCTCTACATATGGTACCTAAAAAGGAACAAAATTCTTGGAGACTGTGTGGTGATTATCGTGCACTCAATTCAGTGACTATCCCGGATCGTTATCCCTTACCTCATATTCAAGATTTTTCTTCTTCACTTTTTGGTAAGAATATCTTTTCTAAAATCGACTTAGTTAAAGCGTACTATCAAGTACCCGTCGCTAAAGAAGATATTCACAAAACAGCTGTCACTACTCCATTTGGGCTTTTTGAATTTGTCGTAATGCCTTTCGGTTTACGAAACGCAGCCCAAACTTTTCAACGGCTCATGAACTCTTTACTTAATGATTTGAGTTTTGCCTTTTGTTATCTTGATGACATTCTTATTGCTTCTAAAGATGAGAAAGAACATATTGCTCACTTACGCATTATTTTTGATCGTCTTCAACAAGCTGGAATGACAATCAATGTCGCTAAATGTCTTTTCGGTCAAAGCGAGATTTCTTTTCTTGGTTACTTAGTTTCTAACCAAGGAGTTAAACCTACATCCGAAAAAGTGAAATCAATTATTGATTATCCTAAACCTAAGACACTTCATGAATTACGCAGATTCTTAGGAATTATCAATTATTATCGTCGCTGTCTCAAGGATGCTGCAAATCATCAAGCTCTGTTAACAGAATATTTAAAGGACAGTCGCAAGAGGGATAGAAGAATTATTTCTTGGACTAAAGAAGCGGAATTAGCTTTCGAGTCATGTAAAGAAGAACTTTTACAAGTTACTACCCTTTCTCATCCTGCTCCTCATGCTCCTCTTATTTTAACTTGTGATGCTTCTGACTTTGCTGTTGGTGCATCACTTGAACAGTCTATTGACGACGATATCAAACCAATAGCATTTTTCTCAAAGAAACTAGACAAAGCTCAAAGAAATTATAGCACTTATGATAGAGAACTTCTTAGCATTTATTTGGCTATTAAACATTTCAGGCATTTTGTTGAAGGAAGACAATTGATTATCAGAACTGATCATAAACCTTTGATTTTTGCTTTCCGTCAGAAATTGGATAAAGCGTCACCAAGACAGATCAGACAATTGGACTTTATTGCTCAATTCTCTACAAATATTACCTATATTTCTGGAAAAATGAATTCAGTTGCTGATGCTCTGTCAAGAATTGAATCTATTTCAATGCCTATTATAGTTTCTTTAGAAGAACTTGCTAATTATCAGAAAGAAGATGAAGAACTTCAAGTTTTACTTTCTTCAAATTCTTCACTTCTGTTGAAGAAACTTATTCTTTCAGGATCAACCATACCTATTTATTGTGATTGCTCTTCGGAATTAATTCGTCCATATGTTCCTAAACTCTTACGCAAGAGAATTTTTGATGTTGTTCATGGACTCGCTCACCCCAGCGGCAGATTGACATCTAAACAATTACTACTGAAATTCATTTGGCCTTCTTTGAAGAAAGATGTGAAGGAATGGACTCGAACTTGTCTTCCATGTCAACGTGCGAAGATTTCAAGACACACCAAGAATTCTCCAATTAAGATTGCAATTCCTGATCAACGCTTTCAGCATGTGCATTTAGACATTGTTGGACCACTTCCTATTTGTCAAAATTACCGTTATTGTCTTACTATGATTGATCGTTTTTCCAGATGGCCTGAAGCTGTTCCTATTTCTGAGATTTCTGCTGAAACTATTTCTACAACATTTTATTCACATTGGGTAGCACGTTTTGGTTCTCCTATCAGCATTACAACAGATCAAGGTCCTCAGTTTGAAGCAGCTTTATTCAAAGCTTTAACAAACCTAATTGGATGCCAAAGGATTAGAACTTCTGCTTATCATCCTGCTTCAAATGGAATTCTGGAAAGATGGCATAGGACTTTGAAAGCAGCGATTATGTGCCACGAAACAACCAACTGGGTAGAATCTTTACCTTCAGTTCTTTTGGGATTACGTTCGTGTTTCAAAGAAGATTTAAAAGCTTCACCTGCAGAACTTCTTTATGGATCCACTCTTCGTATTCCTGGAGAATTTTTCATTGAAGAAGATTTTCCTGCAGATCCTGAAATCTTTCTTGAAAAACACAGGATTCATATGAGGAATATCAGATCATCTCCTACAAGTCATCATTGCAAAAGATCACCTTTTGTTCACAAGAATCTTTTTGATTGTACTCATGTTTGGATTCGAGAAGATACTGTTAGGAAGTCACTACAACCTCCTTATTCTGGCCCTTTTCCTATTGAGAAACGTATCTCTGATCATTTATTTGCAGTTAATGTTTCAGGAAGAGTTGTCAATATTTCGACAGAACGTCTCAAGCCAGCCTTCATTCCTAGAACTTCAGATTCTACTGAACTTTCTACCAGATCTTCAGCTCCTGTTCCTGCTATTTCAACTCCTGTTCCTGCTATTTCAACTCCTGTTCCTGCTACTTCAGCTCCTGTTCCTACTACTTCAGCTCCTGTTTCTGCTACTTCAAATCCTTCTTCTTCTTCTACTGTTGGAAAAGCTTTACGCACCTACCCACCAAAGAAGAAGAAAGTCCATTTCGCAACGAATATCGTCACTTGGGGGGGAGTACTGTAGCATTCATCATCCACACCTTTCATTTACACTCTACACTTTTATTACACCTTACACTTTTCACTGCACTTTTACACTTTTTACATCTTTATACATTTGTAATAACTTCAATTCATTAATATACATAATGTTTTTAAGAAAAATCAATATTTCCATAACAACACATTCATTCATTTATTTGTTACATATTAATTCTTTTTGTTCTTTCGCTTTATACTTTCAATGAATAAACATTACTTTTTCAAAGATCTGGTGAATTTATTTATAAGTCGCTACAAGTTCTCTCCCGTTCCCCCCTCCCAACCGTCAGCGAAATCACCGACGCAGAGGAAGGGGGAGGAATTCGGCTC